CTTAAGTAGTTGTCACAGCTACTTCAGAGCTATTTTGTTATTGAAAACAATGGTCACTATCATTTCTCCCATTTTAATAACATGAAAAAAGCATATTTCCCATATGATTTGTGGAGAAAATTTGGAAATAAAGTCAAAAAAGAAGGGGCAAGAGCCACCTGCAGTTCCATTACTTACAGACGAGCATCTTGTAATCATTTTTCTATATACACATATTTTTTAAAAAATGACTGCATCATCATGTCTGGGGCTACCTGCATGGTTCTGGCTACTCAGCATGCAAAGATGCAGACAGTCTCTCTCACACACACACTACCCTGGAGCCTGTAGGGTGGTGGAAGACAGCCCTGGAGTGGAGGTGGGCACAGGAGGCAGCTCAGGCTGGGGCACGGGGCCACGACCTTGCCATCTGCACTCTGGTATAAGAGAGAGTATTTGTCATAATAATTCAGGCAGGCCCGTCCCTGCCCTCTTCTCTCACCTCCCCTTACAAAAGTGCTCATTCGCCTCTTGGTTCATCTGTGATTTGGCAGGATGACATCATTGATGATGTTGACAGCTTTCTCGCTGCAGCAGAGACCCTAAAGGAGAGAGGTGCATATAAGATCTTTGTGATGGCAACTCACGGCCTACTGTCTTCTGACGCCCCTCGGCTGATTGAGGAGTCCGCTATCGATGAGGTAATGGGCACGTGTACTCATAGATGCCTGGCACTTTGGCACGTCCTGATCCTTAGTTATAGACGGCAGGTATGGGAGTGAGCTCTTTTGTAGTTAAAATGGATTCAAAGGGTGGGTTACATTTGGATTTCATTGAATATAAGTCTCTAATGCTGGACATGGTGGCGTGCACCTGTAGTCTCATCTACTTGGGCGGCTGAGATGGTGATGGACTGTAGTGCCCTATGCCAATTGGGTGTCTGCACTAAGTTCAGTATCAATATGGTGACCTCCCAGGAGTGGAGGGGCCACCAGGTGGCCTAAGGTGTGGTGAGCTGGCCCAGTTTGGCAACAGAGCAGGTTAAAACTCCTGTGCTGATCAGTACTGGGATCGCACCTGTGAATGGTCACTGTACTCCAGCCTGGGCAACACAGTGAAACCCTGGTCTCAAAAAAAAAAACAACCCAACTCTAACACTACCACTTTTTTTAGATAACAGATTGAGATATAATTCATATACCATGTAATTCACCCACATAAAGTATATAATCTGATGGGTTTTAGAATGTTCAGGGTTGTATAATCATTATCTCAAGTCAATTTTAGAACATTTTATTTTCCTGGAGAGAAACTCTACATGCATTAGCAATTACTCCACATCATCTCTGCGTTGCCCAAGCCCCTGGCGGCCATGGAGCTGCTTCCGTCTCTGTAGAGTCGCCTCTCCTAGGCGTTTCCTATGAACGAGATACAGCATGTGGGCTTCCGTTTCTGGCTTCTTTCACTCAGCATATTTTCCTGGTTTGTCCGTGTTGTAGTGTCGCTCAGTACTTCATTCCTTTTTATGAGTGAATAATACTCTCTTGCATGAATAGACCATATTTTGTCTCTCTTTCCATCCATGGATGGAAATTTGGTTTGTTCTACTTTTTTACTATTATGAATAATCAGCTTTGAACATCTCTATGGAAGTTTTTGTGTGGGCAGTGTGGTTTTAATTCCCTTGGTTATATACCTAGGATTGAAATGGATGGGTCATATACTGACTTTATGTTTTAACGTTTGAGGAACTGCCAGGCTATTTTTCCAAAGCAGCTGAACCATTTTACATCACCAGCAGTGATGGTTTGGTTTTTTTTTTGAGACAGAGCCTCAAGCTTGGTTCTAATTAATTTCTCTACATTCTCACCAACACTTGTTATTATCTCTCTCTTTAGTTATATCTGTCCTAGTAGGTATGAGGTTATCAGATCTTAGCCACATGCAGTGGCCCCCACCTGTCAACCCAGCACTTTGGGAGGCTGAGCCGGGAGGATCACTTGAGGCCAGAAGTTCAAGACTACCCTGGGCAACATAGTGAGACCACATCTCTAAAATAAGAAAACTAGCTGGATGTGTTGGTGCACACCTGTAGTTCCAGCTTCTCAGGAGGCTAAGATAGGAGGATTACTTAAGTCCAGGAGTTTAAGACTGCAGTGAGCTATGATTGTGCCATGACAGTCTAGCCTGGTGACAGAACTAGACCTTGTCTCTCTCTTTTTTTTTTTTCCCTAAGACAGAGTCTTACTTTGTTACCCAAAGTAAAGTGGCATGGTTATCAGCCTACCTCACAGCAATCTCAAACTCCTGGACTTAAGCGATCCTTCTGCTTCAGCCTCCCAAGTAGCTGGGACTATAGCCACCTGCCACAACACCTGGCTAGTTTTTCTATTTTTAGTAAAGAGTGGGGTCTCCCTCTTGTTCAGGCTGAAGAGAGATGAACAAGGCTGAACAAAAGGGAGTCTAGAACTCCTGAGCTCAAGCTATCCACCTGCCCAGGCCTCCCAGAGTCCTAGGATTACAGCTGTGAGCCACTGTGCCCTGCTAGACTTTGTTTCTAAAAAATTAAAAAAATAAATCTTAACCTAAGAAACGCAGATAGGTTCATATTAACTGGAAATGTGTTAGAGGGTAGACAGTCTTCCTATCTAGTAGAACCTCAGAGATTTCAGAGTGTGTCACATTTTCAGACCAAAGCACAGAGCTGTTGGTATTTTGACGCTCTTGGTTTTTTCCTCTTGATTCACAGGTGGTGGTGACCAATACAATTCCACATGAAATCCAGAAACTCCAGTGTCCGAAGATTAAAACTGTGGATATCAGCATGATCCTGTCAGAAGCAATCCGTCGGATTCACAATGGGGAGTCCATGTCCTACCTTTTCAGAAACATAGGTTTAGATGACTAAGAGCTCTTCGTTTTTAAAATTCCCCAGGGCCAAACTGGAAACCTGTGAGTGATGCCGTGAGGGCACGTGCTCAGTGGGTGTGTCCCACAGGAATGCTGTGCTCTGTCCTCCTGCCCCTGTGCCCTGTCTTCTCATTGATTCCTATGAAGATAGACCAACTTTCTACGTCAGTTTGGGTGTTTGTGGGTTTGGGGGACAATTTTTATAAAATAAATACTTTATTCTCCTCTTAAATAAGATCTGGTGTTTTTTTAGTTTATTTAAAAATAACTTGGAGTAAGATTTTTAAGCTCACAAACAGCCTTTTTCCAAAGTTGCTTGAGCCAAATGCTTTAAAAAAGGTACTAAAATGGTCTACTGTATGATTCCTATAGTTGAAAAGCCGAAAAGTTACACTGTTGAATCCAGTAAATGACATTTTTAGAAATGCTTTTATAGCAAGCCTATGGAATATGTGATTGTATTTATTTTCTGCAACTGGAGACAGAGTAAACTCTTGTGTTTTTGTGTGTTTTTTAAAACTTTGTGTTTGGCAACTGTTTTATAACTAAAATAAAATGAAAGCTGAGTAAACCTCTATGGGTGTTGAAATGCTTACAGTTTGCTTTTTCTTTTGCTACTTTTTGGGGGATACAGTAGTTTCTTGAGGATGTAATATTCCCTGTCCTGACAACTTGTTAAACACCCTGAGAGTTTCTGGTGTGGAGTTAGAGGAACAGGAGAGGAGTTTGGATGTCAGGATGAGGCAGCACAGGGCACAAGCTGCCACCCAGTCTCTGCTTCTTTTGCCACAGTCCTGCCATCGTTCACAAAGGTCATGCCACTGATGCTCTGAGGGGACTGTCCCAAAAGGCAACTGATGTGACCCTTGTCAGTGTTCTAAGTATGGGCTGTGTTAGTTTAGAGTTTAGAGCGCGGAACTTCCACCTTAGTGTTTATTTGAAACAGCTCCTCTGTCCTGGTGCCCCGGGAATTGGACCAACATGTCCTGCCCCTAGGGAGGACAGTGTAGACGCTGTCACAGAGAGTAACGTTCCAGCCCTCCCAGACGCCTCAGACCGGGAGGACAGTGTAGACGCTGTCACACAGAGTGACGTTCCTGCCCTCCCAGACGCCTCGGACCGGGAGGACAGTG